AAAAAAAAAACAAAAAAAACACAAAACAGAGAATCCAAAAGCTGTGGAATAATATTAAATGGTTTAATCTAATTATAATCAGAATCCCAGAAGGAGAAGGGAGAGAGAATAAATAGAAGAAATATCTGAAGAGATAATGGCTGAGAACTTTTCAATAATAATGAAAAGATATAAAAATACAGATTCTAGGTCAGGACCAATGGCTCATGCCTATAAACCTAGCACTTTGGGAGGCCAAGGCAGGAGGACTGCTTGAGCCCTGGGGTTACAAACTAGCCTGGGCAATAGTGAGACCCTGTCTTTACAGAAAATAAAAAAAAATAGCTGGGCATGGTGCTGCACACCTACAGTCCCAGCTACTCAGGAGGCTGAAGCAGAAAGATCACTTGAGCCCAGGAGTTGGAGGCTATACTGGGCTATGATGATGCCACTACACTATAGCCTGGGCAACAGAGTGAGACCCTATCTCACACACACACACACACACACACACACACACACACACACACACACAGATCCAAAACGCCCAGAAAACCCGAAGCAGGATAAATACCAAAACAAATACCTAGAGGCATCATAGTCAAACAGCTAGAAACCATAAATAAGATATTGAAAACATTCAGCAAGAACACATACATTACATACAAAGGAACAAAGATATAGCAGACCTATTGTCAGAAACTATGCAAACCAGAAAGCAGGACACAGTTAACACTAGAGGATTTTCAAGCTGGTGGTGCATCGAAGGTAACCAAAGCAACAACAAAACCCAAATCCAGCTCAATTCCTGGCCAGACTGACTTGATCTCGCACACTAACACCCTAGCAACAGAAGTACATCCATTTAAAGTGCTAAAAGAAAAAAAATTGTGAACCTAGAATTCTATATCCAGTGAAAATATCTTTCAAAATGAAAAACCAAAGCTGAGACAATTCACAACAGACCAGCACTACAAGAAATATTACAGTTCCCCAGGCAGAAAGAATATGGTACCAGATAGAAACATGGATTTATGTAAAGAAATGAAGATCTCCAGAAATAGTTAAAATGAAGGTAAGTATAAAATACATTTTGCATTATTTTCCTCATTTTAAACTACTCTAAAGATAACTGACTGTCCAAAGTAAAAGAGGAGCAATGTACTGTAGGCTTACACTGTAAAAGCAAAAAGTATTACACTGTAAAAGCAAAAAATATGATAACAATAGCACAAAAGATGGGTGGGAGGAATCAGAATATACTGTTATAAAGTTCTTACATTATACATGAAGCTGCATAGTATTTCTTGAAGATGGACTGTGATTAATTAAAGATGTAGACTGTAAACCCTAGGGCAATCATTAAAAAAATTATAAAGAGATTTAAATAATAAGCCAATAGTGGAGATAAAATGAAATAATAAAAAATACACAGACATAGCGGGGAAAAGGAACAAAGAACAGATGGAAGAAACAGGAAACTAAAAGAATGGCAGATTTTAATTCAGATACATTGATAATTAAGGTGAATATTAATGGTCTAAACATACCAATAACAAACTATCAGACTCGATAAAAAAAGGAAGGCTATATATGCTGTCTAC